CTGGTGGCCAAGAAGGCCAGTGGCTCGTGGCCTGTGTCAGGAATGGAGTGGCAAGCAGGAGCAGAGGTCATCCTTCCCCTGTTCTCAGCACTGGTTGGGCAGCACCTCGAGTGCTGTGTCCAGTTCTGGGGACACTGAGGGGCTGGAGCGTGTCCAGAGAAGGGCAAAGAGGCTGGTGAGGGGCTGGGAACACAAGCCCTGTGAGGAATGACTGAGGGAGCTGGAGTTGTTTAGCCTGGAAAAAAAGGAGGCTCGGGGGAGATCTTATCACTCTCTACAACTCCCTGCAAGGTGGTTGTAGCCGGGTTGGTCTCTGCTCCCAGACAACCACTGACAAAACGAGAGGACACAGCCTTAAGCTGCCCCAGGGGAAGTTTAGGTTCGACATGCGATGAAAATCCTTCACTGAAAGAGTGACTGGATGCTGAAATCGTCTGGCCAGGGAGGTGCAGGAGTCACCATCCCTGGACGTGTCTGAAAAAGACTGGTCGTGGCACTCAGTGCCACGGTTTAGCTGATGAGGAGGTGTTAGGTTAGGTCATAGGTTGGACTTGATGAGCTCACGGGTCTTTTCCAACCTGGCTCATTCTGTGATTCTGTGATCCGAGGCGCTGGGCAGGATCTGACAGCAGATGTGGGTTGGGAAATCAACATCCATCTTTTTAATATAGGTGTATAAATATCTCCTAATGTGGAAGTGGCTGTGTCTCAGTGTGGGGTGGGGGGATCTGCATGGGTTTTCTTTTGATTCAATGCCGAATCTAGGCGAGGGAGAGGTGGGGTGACTGCAGAGACTCTGGATGTGAGAGCTGTGGCTGCCCTGATCACTTTGGCAGTCAGGAAGAGCTGTGGTGTGGAGGTCAGTGTCTGCAGTAGAGAACTCTGAAGCCATAACTTTTAACTGGAGTGGTTTTGATTATTATTTTTTTAATTATTATTATTGTTATTATTATTATTGTTGTTGTTTTCTGGGATGGTCTGGATTTTAACTTTTTTGAATATTGTTAATTCTTTCTAAGAGCAGAAAAACAATCTCTAATTATTACCTCTTGACCTGTTGGTTTGTAAAGAAATCACTGAAAAAAAAAAGAAAAAAAAAAAGAGAAACAACCAAATGCACAGCTCGATTTACACTGGAACTGTTTCTACTCTGACTTGGCTCCTGCTCTCTAAGGTGAGGTTTCATCTCTGCTCTGGCCGCCAGGGTTGTTTTTATTTCAGTCCCTCTGTTCTTGCTGTCTGTGTCCCTGTCCATGTGTCCCTCTCTCCTGATTCCCTGTGTGTCCGTGACCTTGTACAGAGTGAGGAATGTGGTTTTTGAATCATGGTAGGACCCGTTTTGCATCCCCCGAGGAGTTTCTGGCGGCGTGGATCTGCAGTGGGAGCTGGGATGGGGATCCCCTGTCCCTTCCCAGCATGTCCTGAGTCACATCTCAGCCAGAAGTTCCCAGCTCCACATGTCCCTTAAACCTGCATTTAGAGAGGGGCACTTGCAAGCCCAAAATGCAGATTTCACCCAGTTAAAACTGCATTTAGAAGACGAGGGGGGCACTTGCAAGCCCAAAATGCAGATTTCACCCAGTTAAAACTGCATTTAGAAGACGAGGGGGGCACTTGCAAGCCCAAAATGCAGATTTCACCCAGTTAAAACTGCATTTAGAAGGTGAGGGGGCACTTGCAAGCCCAAAATGCAGATTTCACCCAGTTAAAAGTTTTAGAAGGTGAGGGGGGCACTTGCAAGCCCAAAATGCAGATTTCACCCAGTTAAAACTGGTAGAAGCCAAGGGGGCCACTTGCAAACCTTAAATACAGATTTCACCCAGTTAAACCCTCACTTAGAAGCCAAGGGGGGCACTTGCAAGCCCGAAATGCAGATTTCACCCACCTAAACCTGCACTGAGAACCAAGGGTGGCACTTGCAAGCCCGAAATTCAGATTTCACCCAGCTAAACCTGCACTGAGAAGCCGAGAGGGGCACTTGCAAGCCCGAAATTCAGATTTCACCCAGCTAAACCTGCACTGAGAAGCCGAGGGGGCCCTGAGGACTCCCAAGCCTTTGGAGCAGCAGCTGGGGCAGCCGCAGGTGCCGTGGCACCGCTCTGGGCACTTCAGGCTCTCCCTGGCTCTCCCATCCCGGTGCCCACGGGCAGCTCCAGAACTCGCACTGAACTCGCCCCCTCCCACTGTAGCCACACTGCAGCTGCCTCAGCGCCCAACCAAACAGGGCTGGGCAAAGGGACGAGGCCGGGGCACGTCCCTAGCAGCAGGATTTGAGGGAAATCCTCATTTCAGGAGAGATGGGCAAAAGGCAGCAGGAGGAACGCTGACCATGTAGCATTCACACAGCACTTTCCATGCAAACCGGTGCCCGGGGGCGCCAGTGCTTGCCGAGCTGCCCCTCCAAAAGTTGCAGCAGCTCTGGGAAAAAAGCAGATTCCAGGCAGTTCCCAGGGGAGCCCTGTGCAGGACAAGGAGGGGGGGGATCCATCAGCGGTACGTGGCTGCAGGACAGAACTCTTGGTACTTCTCTGCCCCTTTGATTTCGTTTGGTTTTGTACGTTTTCTTAGCAAAGGACTGTAAGAAAATAGCCACTTAGCCACTTTACCTCTTCAGTATGCAAATGTACATACGGTGTAAGATAGGAGATCTTTTGTTTAATATAAAACCAGGCTGTCGATTTCTGCTGTACATTATTAAAAGTTTGTTTTATTCATGTGAGGTGTTGCAATCTCAGTTCGCTGGGAGAGGTGGGAATTGCGGGGCACAACTCAATCCCTCAGAGAGGGGTTCGGGGAGGGGGGGACTCATCCCTCACAGCTAAAATAATCTCTTAGGAATCCTGGTCAAAACATTTTAATGTTGAATATTCCCATTTTTTAGTGAATATGCAGCTTCCAACACCCACCAAGCACCACCAGCAAAGTGGAGGTGAGGCAAAGAGGTGGCAGGTGAGATTTTCCACCCATGCAGGGATGAGAGCTGAACTTGGGGCTCCCACTCTGGAGATGGGCACAGATCTTGAGGGGTCACAGAGAATAAATACCTTGGAGATCCCTCAGAGCATCCCTGGGGGTGTGGTGGATACAGTGGGCACCCCCCTGGAGCATCCACATTGACCCACTTCGAGGAAAGATAAATCCCACAGCAAACTACCCCCGTGCCCCTACAAAATCCTGTTTGCTCCGAGGGTAAAAGGTGCTGCGTGAACTGCCCCTACTAATTCCTTAATTAGAGCAAATGAGTCTGTCGTGAGCGGATCAAGGGGAAAATCTGCCGAGGCCTGGGGTCCCCCCAGGCTCAGACAAGGTGGGGAGGGGGTGGCACCATCTGGGCTTGTCCTTCCTCATGCCCAGCTTTGTCTGAAGCTCCTGCTGTGGTCCCCAGGAAAATCCAGCCCCATCCTGGAAACGTGGGCAGGAGAGAGATGAGGGTGTGGGGAATTTTAAAGCAAAACCTGTCTGCTCCTCTAGGAGACAGAATGGGAAACCAGGCTAGGGTGGCTGCAGCCGAGGGGCCAAGTCATTGCCAGATTTTGGGAAGGAGACGGGGTGTTCCTCGTCATTCCCGGTGGTTTGGTGACTCAGGGTCGGTGGTGGGCTCCATCCCATCGTTTCCCCAGCGCTTCCAGCCCAGAGCAGCTCTGCTCCTGGAGCAAATTTCCCTCCTGGTAACCCCAGGCCAGGCTGTGGGCGGGAGGTTTGGGTGGAACGCCAGCGGGATTGTTACGATTTTCATTTTTTTGGGTTTTTGTTTTTTTTTTTTTTTGGCAAATTTTAAACAAACATTTGGGCAAAGCTCTCAACTCCAGCTGGAAAATTCCCGCTGCCTCCCGCCGGAGCCGCTCCGTGTGTCCGCAGCAGCCACCGCGGCTGCCTCCGGGAATTGTTCCGTGTCCCAGCTCGGCGCACGGAGATCCCGCAGGAACGATTTCCATCCCTCCGGCTGCCCCGGGGGCTGCGGCCACCCCTGCCCCATCTCCCGCCTCCCGATAAATCCCAAATGCGGCTTTGGCGGCTGTCCGGGAGCAGCGGAGCGCGGCATTGCTTCTGCTCCCGGAAAAACTCGCGGCTTTCTCCCCAAATCATCCCTGGGGTGACCCCTGGGAACTCTCCTCGGCACCCCACGGTGCCTCCCGTGACATTCCCAGCAGCATCCCACCCTGCACCCTCAGGATCCCGCCTCCCCCAGGTCCTACTGCCCCGAGAAGCGCCCAGAACTCCACGCTGAGCCCCGGGGTGTCCTACGGGTGAGGATGCGCCCACGCAGGACCCTCCTTCCAGACCCCCCCCACGCTGCACTCCCTGTGCAGAACTTCGTGAAGGGCCCCCACACTGGACCCCCACGCTGAACCCCACGGGATCCCTGAGCAGGACCCCCACACCGGACCCCCCTGTGGATCCCCAGAGGGTCACCGAGCAGGACCCCAGGTGGAATCTCCCCCCTGGACCCCCACGGCATCCCTAAGCAGGAACCCAAATTGTTCCATCCTGCTGGACCCCACCCAAGGGGCCCCTGTGTGGGACCTCCAGGGGGTCCCCGAGCAGGACCCTCACACCGGATTCCCCCTGGACATCCACGGGGTCCCCAGGCAGGACCCTCACACCGGATCAATCTGGTTCTCCATGGGGTCCCCGAGCAGGACCCTCACACCAGACCCCACCCCAGACCTCCACGGGGTCCCCAAGCAGGACCCTCACACCGGATCCCCCCCACTGGTTCTCCATGGGGTCCCCGAGCAGGACCCTCACACCGGATCCCCCTGGTTCTCCACGGGGTCCCCGAGCAGGACCCTCACACCGGATCCCCCTGGCCTCCCCGTGGTCCCGACTCGGTGCCCGGGCCCGGAGCGCCGCCGGCACCGCCGGACACCGGGCGTGGTCTGTGTCCGAAGCCGCGTTTAACGCCCCGGTGGGTGGGCTCGGCTCCGAGAGGGGCGCGCCCCGCGCTGCCCCCGCCCCCCGGGGCCATATAGCGGCGCACGGCCCGGCCCGGCCCGGCCATGACCCTGCGGCGGCGGCGGCGGCGGCGGCGGCTCCGGCCGAGCGACGATGCGGCACCGGCGGTGGCCCCGGAGAGCCCCGGGCCCGCCGAGCTGTACCGAGCGCTGGCGGCGGCCGGCGGGACCCTGCCCCGCGTGCGCAAGGTAGGGTTGCGGGGCGAGCGGGGGAGCCGCCCCGGTGCTCCCGGTTGTGCACCGGGACCGGAGGGGGAAGGGGTGCCGCGGGCGGTAACGGAACTGCGGCAGGAGCGGGGCTGCGCCGTGTCCCCGTCCCGCCCGGCCGCTGGGTTTGCTCCGGTGTCTCCTCCGGGGCTCTTCTCCTGCGCCGGGGGCCCGCCCAAGCTTTCCTCGCGTCCTCGTCCCGATCTTGTCCCGGTGGCCGCCCCTTCCTCTTGTCCTGCCCCAGCATCTCCTCACCCCCGTCCCATCCTTCCGCAGCATCTTCCCGCTGTCCCCGTCCCGCTTGCTCCGTGTTGTCCCCCCAGGCGTCACATCCCGTCCCGGATCCTGCCCGGTGCTGCCCCGGTATCATCCCTGTACCCCACCCTGGTTTCCCCCCAAGCCCCGCGTCATGTTCGGGGCCCTCCCCACGTTCCCTGCAGTGTCCTCCCTGTGCCCCTTCCCGGTGTCCCCCAAGCCCCAAATCCTGTCCTGGTCCCTCTCCATGTCCTGCCCGGCAGTTTCGGGGCGCAGGGCCGGACCCCCACCCCGCTGCTGGTGGCTCTGTCCCTGGGACAGGCGTGACCCCACGATCCCCCGGGCTCTGTCCGGTGATCAGGACAAGGGATCGGCCACCGGCTCCCCCGGGGTCTGATTTAGGGGCGGTAAGCCCGGCTCACAGAGTACCCCGCGTCTGGCTCGGTGGAACACGGGGCCCCTGGAAAAACTCCGGGTCTGGCTCGGTGGAACACGGGGCCCCTGGAAAAACTCCCCGGTGGTGACGCCGGGACCGACACCGCCCTGCGGCTCCCCCCGGCCCCGGGCTGCTTCCTGAGCGCCGTGGGGAAGCGAGAGCGGAGCCGACATCCGGAGCAGAAGTGGCCTCCCCCTGCCCTGCCACAGAGACGCGCGGTGGCCTGGCCAATGCTCACCAGCCAAGGCCACCACCAGAAACGTCCCTGAGGGTCCCGTGTCACCTTCCCGTCACTGTGGTGGCGTGGGGCCCAGCGTGACAGGCAACGACTTTCCCTTTGGTGAACACACCCAGTCCTGGTGGTTTTGCGCCCGTGGATGCATTTGGGGAGGTCGCTCACTCTCTGGTGACACCCGTGTGGCACCCGGCTGCCACCAGGACGTGCCATGTGCCACTCTCGAGGGGCAACTCACGGTGGCACTGCCTGAATGCGCTGCAGCTGCCAGAGCCCAGCAGCCACCGAGGGGCATTTGGGGACAGCCCTGTCACCTCCTGCCCTGCGGTGAGGGTCCTGTCTTGCCCTGCCAGTCCCTCCACCCGCCCACGCCTCTGCGCCTGCCACAACAGCGACATTGTCTGGGCCGGGTGGGGGGGGTGGATTTTGCACAAAAATCCCGACTTTGTGACCACAACAGGGCCCCTCTGTGCCGGGGCCCCTCGGAGCGTGGCGTGGGGTGGGTGCGGCGCGGCTGACGTCAAAGCGTGGGGCGAGCACGGGGCAGCTCTGAGGGTGCCTTTGAGCCCCGATCAAAGCCCCGTTATGCCCGGGGGGCACCCGGCTGCTGGTTGGGTGCCGGCTTGGCACGGTGCTGCCCCGGGGTTTGGTGCTGTCCCGCTGGGACCCGGCGCGTGGCTGGCCCTGGAGGAGGTGAGGGATGTCCCCTCGGGTGTCCCCTCGGGCTGATGGCTCTTCCTTTCCCGCAGGACACAGGGTTCAAGTGGGCATCCCCGAGCCAGTCGCCAGAGGAGCACAGGTAGGGACAGGGGACACAGGAGTGGGGCTGGGGTCCCTGTCCCAGAGCTTGGAGCTTGGCCCTGGGACATTGTTCCACTCTGGATAGCCCGGGAGGGCTGGAAATTAAGGGGGTTTATGGGGGAGGTGACAGAAGTTTATGGGGTCACAGCTCCCTGGTGGGCTCAGGCACTCCAGACCCTGTGGGCATCCTGCCTGGCACCCCCACGATTCTGGCCAAGGCAAATTTGGGGGGAGGGTCTCATCCCTGGGGGCAGGAGGGGTGAATCCCCTCTCAGGCAGAGGTGCTTGGGGACGCCAGAGCAGCGTTTTGAGAAGAGCCTGAGGTTTGCACGGGCAGGTTTGGGTGTGCTGGGGCTCTGCCCTGCCCCTGATCCCTGTGTCCCCCAGGAGGGTGGTGACGCTGGAGAAGAAGGCAGAGGAGTCCTTCGGCTTCGAGATCCAGGTGGGTGCTGAGCCGAGCTGAGCCTGGCCGTGCCATGCCCTGCTCCCCGCCCTTCCAACCCGCACCTCGCTTTGCATCGAGGGTATTTTTAAGTTCTCTCTGAGCTGGGGGTTATTTTTAGCGGTGACGGAGTCGCTGCCTTACCGAGCTGGGGGGGCACCCGGGGTGCAGCCATCAGGGCAGGGCCCCCCCCGTGCCAGGGGCTGCGGGGCTGCCCCGCTCACCCAGCAGCAATGCAACACTGCCCTGCTGCCCCGTGGCTGCTCCCGGGGGCTTCCTGGGGGTCGGGGTGCCCCCGTGACCCTGAGCAGACCCCCCCCTGTTCCAGACCTACGGGCTGCACCACCAGGACAGGAACAGCGTGGAGATGTTCACCTTCGTGTGCCGCGTGCACGACGGGAGCCCGGCTGAGGCCGCGGGGCTCAAGGCTGGTGAGATCATCCTGGGGGGGAGCTGGGGTGGGGGGCTCTGGCAGCGGGGAGCAGCCCCCCTGAACCCCCTGTTCGCCCTGGGCTCCAGGGGACACCATCACGGGCGTGAACGGGCTGAACGTGGAGGGCATCCGGCATCGGGAGATCGTGGAGATCATCAAGAGCTCGGGCAACGTTCTCCGGTGAGCTTGGGGGGCGCAGGGGAGGCCCGGGTGGCTGCAGCCCCCCACGGCTGACGGCTGCTGACCCACAGGCTCGACACGCTCTATGGCACCTCCATCCGCAGGGCCGAGCTGGAGGCCCGGCTGCAGTACCTGAAGGTGGGCAGGGGCTGGCAGGGGGTCACGAGGAGGGGCTGGGGACCCCCTCGCCAGGGTCCTCACCCCCTCACCCTCCCCGCAGCAAACCCTCTACGAGAAGTGGGGGGAGTTTCGCTCGCTGATGGTGCAGGAGCAGCGGCTGGTGCGGGGTGAGCGGGGACCAGGGGGCTGGCGGGGGAGGATTTTGGGGCACCAGCCGCCCTCCCTGACACCCCCGTGTCCCCCATCAGGTGTGGTGGCCAAGGACCCCAGCATCTACGACACGCTGGAGTCCATCCGCTGGTGCCTGCAGGGGGAGGGACTGCCGGGGGGCTCCTCCCGGGCCAGCGGCAGCGATGATTCCCTCTACCAGACCTGCGTCTTCGCCTCTTCCAGCTCCCTGGACGGGGACAAGGATGGCGACAGGGACAAGGATGAGGACAGCGGGGGTCCCGCGCCGCCCCCGCCGCGCCCCCGACCTGCCCTGGCCCGCAGCGCCAGCCTCAAGTGTGCGGGGGGCCCGGGGGCTGCGGGGAGGCTTTGGGCCCGGGCCGGGGACCCCGGGGAAGGAGCGGCCGCCCCCCGCAAGAGCCGGCACAGCAGCTTCCGCCGGCGGCTGCTCAAGTTCATCCCGGGTCTCAACCGGGCGCTGGAGGAGGAGGAGAGTCACCTCTAGCCCCCCCCGCCCGGCCCCCCAGGACTATTTATTTATTTATTGCGAGGGGCTTCATTCCCCCGGCCCCCATCCCTGGGGGCTGCAGAAGGAGGTTTGGGTTGGCCCCGGGGGGGTTCTGATTTGGCCCCTCCGACCCCGGCCCGTGGGGATGGTGACGCCGAGGGACGGACGCGACACCGAGGGACAGACGTGAGGAGCCTCCCGAAGCGGCTCCGTTCTCGGGAACGGCGCCTCCCTCCCCGGAGGGGAGCACCGGGGTAGCCCCGCACTCCCCAGGCTGGGGGGGCTGGGGGGGTCCCACCCCTGCCCCCCCGGGCTGTTGTACCACGCCGGTGCTCGCCAATACAGAGAGGATTTGCAGCGGTGTGTGGCTGTGATGAGAGGGGACAGAGCCCCCCGTGGGGACCAGGACGGGCAGGGTGGGCTGGGGGTGACCAGCTGCTGTCACCTTGGCCGTGAGCGAGCTCCCGGGGACCCCCCGTGTCCCCCCGCCTGCCGCAGCCCCCGGTGCCGTCCCCACGTCCCGGTGCCGTCCCCACGTCCCGGCGCTGCGGGGCCCCGGCCAAGCCAGGCCCTTCCTGCCCCGTTTCCTCCGGCAGCCGGCGGGAAGCGGCTCCCGCCCCGAGCCCTTCCGCCCGCGGGGGACACGGTGCCCACGCAGGACGGGCACTGGTGGGGTCCCCCCGACCTGCCTCAGTGTCCCCCAGAGCCACTGAAGCGGCGTGCAGAGGAGCTGGGGGACACAAAGCACCCCCGGAGCTGGGGGACTGCTGCAGCACCGGTTCCCTTGCACAGGCGCTCCGTGGAGCACCGAGAGCCCCCAGCCCTCTGCTCTGCCTCAGTTTCCCCCTTTGGCCGGGCTGTTGCATGTCTGGGGACCCCAATTCTCCCCTTGCCCTCCCCGTCCCCCCCGGGAGAGCCTCTGGAGGTCTGGGGGTGAGAACTGCGGGTGTCTGTGCGTGCCGTGGAGCGGGGGGTGGGGGCTCAGCTGGCTCCCCCACACTCTCCTGCCTTGTCCCCGTTCCAGGGCAGCTCCGTGCTGGACATTTATGGTCTGGCCCCGCAGCCCCGGCGGCTCCCGGTGTCCTCCCGCGTGCTGCCCGGGTCGGAGCATCCCGTTCCCGTCAGAGTCACCACGGCACCCCCCGTGGCAGCTGCCACCCCACGCTGAGCTTTTTATAGCCCCGACCTGGGGCTGCGTGCGCCCGGGAATGGGCAGATGGCCGTGGGACACCGGGGTCACGCGTGGCACCGGCTGAGCCGAGGCTGCGGGGTACAGACCGGGAACGCCCCGGAGCCGCCTGTCATTACCGATAAAGATAGGCCCGGGGCAGGGAGCCAGGGGTAGCCGTGAGCCCCGGCTGATCAGCGCCCGGGCACGGGCACCCTGCAAATCCCAGCGCCCACCCTGGGGCTGCCTGGCGGTCATCCTGTCCCCGTGTCCCCACCTGGGTGTCAGGGGGGATCCCTGGGGCTGCTGTGAACAGGGGTCCCCCCGCTGCACCCCCGTGGCCTTGCCAGGGTGGCTGGGCTCGGGTTTCCTCCCCCGAAGCCATCGCGGTGCCCGCGACCTCTCCCGGGGTACAGCTAATCCCGGCTGCGGGGGCTGCCGCTGCCACCCTCCTGCCTCCGGTACCGCCGCCACCAAGCCAGGGATGCGGGGGGCTGCGACCCCCGGTGGCTTTGGGACCCCCGGCAGCTCTGCGACCCTCCTGTCTGACGTGTCCCGAGGACTCGTGGCCGAATCCCCGGGCTGGCACCGGCCCTGCCCCTCGGCAGGTCCCGCCGGGCCCGGGGGATCCCTCTGGGGGCGGCCCCGGTGGTGCCGCGGGATCCCCAAGACGTCAGTGACCGGTGTGACGTCAGCGGGCAGGTGTGATGTCACGGAATCCCGTCGGGGGCGGGCGACAGCCAGAAGCGGCGCCGGAGCGAGGGAACGGCTCCCGGTCCCGGGCCGCCACCTCCGGTACCCCCGTGCCGCCACCTCCGGACCCCTCTGGTGCCGGGCTGCCCCCGCCCCGGCTGCTGCTCACGGGGCCGGGGATTTCGTGAGGCCATGCAGGGTCCCGGTACCGGAGGTCCCGGCAGCACCCCCGATGCCGGCAGCGGCTGCCGGGACACCGGGGCACCGGCCCGGCCCCGCGGTGGAACCGTACCGGGGCCGCTGCCGCTGCAGGGGCACTAACGGGGGAGCTGTCACCCCCGGGGGCGCTGCCAGCCCGGGCACGGCGGGCCGGGTGCCCCCAGACCCCCGGTTTGTCCCTGGGAATGGAAACCGGCGGGTACGGCGAGGGACGGGACGGAGCCGGTACCGACGTGTACCGGGTCGGTAGCAGGAGATCCCAAGGGAGTACCGGGGTAGTATCGGAGGGTAGCGGCTCAGAAGCTCCGCGGTGCTACCGGAGGGTATCGCGGGAGGTGCTGGAGTCGTACCGGAGGGTACCGGGATGGTACTGGAGGGTATCGCGGGAGGTGCTGGAGCCGTACCGGAGGGTACCGGGATGGTACCGGAGGGTACTGAGGGGGTACCGGCGTGGCACCGGAGGGTGCTGCGGGCTTGTGGGTCCCTTCCGCTCACCGTCCGCCCTCCCGCGGGCCCGGGCCGGCTCCGCACCGGCTGAGCTCATCTTTCCAGCCCGCGGGCGCTGTTCCCGGCGCCGGCGCCCGCCAGCAGCCGCCGCTCTTTCCATCGCCCCGGCCAGGGGCTCCCCGCGGGGACCGGGCGGGGGCGGGACCCCGCGGCACTCCCCCCGCACCCGGCACCGAGCGGGAGGAGCCCGGGGGTACCGGCGCCGCTGAGCACCGGAGATACCCGCATGGGCACTGGGCATAGCGGCACCGGGGGTACGGGAGATCACCGGGGAGAACGGCGGCGGGGGGACACCGGGAATGGGGCAGTGAAGATACCGGCACCGAGGGGGCTCCGGGGATGCCAACACCGAGGGGACACCGGGGATAATGGCACCAGAGATCCTGGCGCCTCGAGGGCACCGAGAATGGTGGTACCGGCAACGAAGGGACACCGGGGATACCGACACCGAGAGCCTACCGAGGCTGGGCACTAAAATGATGCCAGCACCGAGGGGGCACCGAGGGTGGGCGCAGCGGAGTACCAGCAAGGAGGGGACACCGGAAATACCGGCAGCGAGAGAGCGCCGGGGCTAGAGGCAGCGGGGGACGCCAGCCCCGGGTTCGCAGCAGCGAGGAGACACCGTGCATACCGAGGAGCCACCGGCTGCGAGGACACCGGGGATACCCCTGACACCGGGGCCTCCCTCCCCCCGCCGGCGGCCCCCGGTGCCCCGGGGGGATATGTGGGGAAGCGAGGGGCGCCCGGGCTATTTTTAGCCGGGGCCGCGGGGGTATTTTTAGCCGGGGCCGCGGGTGCGTCAATGGAACCCCGCGTGCGTCACGGCCGCGCCCCCGCCGGGGCCGCCCCCCCCGTGCGTCACCGGCCCCGCGCCGCCCCGCGCGTCACCGAGCGCTTAAGAGAAAGTAGTGGCGGGGCCGGAGCCCGGCGGAGCCCGCGGAGCGGCGGTGGCAGGAGCAGGAACCGGAGCGCCGCCGCGCCGGCACCCGGGTACGGGCGGCACCGGGATGCGGGGAGCGGGTGGGGGGCACCGGGGGCAGGGGGTCGTGCTGGCAGCGGGGGCGGGCTGAGCGCAGCGGCGTGGGGTGTCCCGGTGGCACCGGGGGAGTAGGAGCCGTTGTCCGGGGCGGCACCGGAGGGGTTCAGATCGGGCGTGGCAGGTGGCGCCAAGAGGATCCGGGTCGGGCATCCCGGTGGCACCGGCGGCTCAGGGCGGTGGGCGTCCTGCAAAGTGGATGGATGTGGTCGGGTGTCCCAGTAGCGCCCCGGGCAACCGGGTCGCGCGTCCCCGTGGAGCCGGGGCTCGCGTGTCCGAAGGACGCGGTGGAAGGGACTCCCGGTGCCACCGGGGAGAGTCGGGGGTCCCGGTGGAAGGGACCGGGCTGCGTGCGCTATGCGGGATTGCCCCTTGTGGGTATCCGGTGACACCGGGAGGAGCCGAGTCGGGCGTCCCGCGTGGCGCTGGGAGGTGCACGGGATCGGGCGTCCCAGCGGCACCGGTAGCACCGGGAAAACCCGGGAATCCCGCAGCCGGCGGGAGTTGGCAGAGCGAGAGGTCCCGGTGCCGGGGGTCCCGGGAAGAGCCCGGCACCACCCTCTCCTCCGTGAGGAGCTGCGCAGGACCGGGAGCCGCTAGTTGGGCCATGCGGGAGCGGGGGCTGGTTCCCCCATCACGGCAGCCTAACCGGGGCCAGCTGCAGATGCAGGAAAGCCCCGTCTCAGGCAGAGCCACCCCACACCGGGCATCACCCCGGGATCCCCGAGCAGAGCGGTCACGGAACCGGAGAGGGCAGCAGCGGGGCAGGCAGGAGCACGCGGGCAGCGCCGGGCACTGCGAGCAGGGATGTGCCCGCAGCCAGCCCCGTGCGGGCAAACCCCCCGCTGCCCCCGCGGGCCTGGCAGCAGCCGCTGCGGCATTACCGGGCAGCAGGTGCCGGCAGGGCCGTGGGCAGCGTGAGCCGCCCCCGGTGCCACCGGCTGCTCTCGCCCGCCCGCGGCCCGGGGCCCGGTGCCAGCGGCTGCCACCCGCCCGTGAAGGCGGCAGCCCCGGGGCTGGGCACGGGCGGCTGCCCCGCGCTCCCAAACCAGGAATCTGCAGACAGAGCCCGGCCGTGGGCAGCGCCGAGGCTGCTGCGGGAATCTGTGCCCGGTCCCTGGGGGGGGACAGGGCAGAAGGGACCCCAAATGCTCTCAGCGAGCGGGTGAGAGCCAAAACCTTCAAACAACCGGGAGCACGGGAAGGGTCGAGGCATTGCATTTGCCAGGGTTTTCATGCAGGCAAGGAAAACTCCCACTGGCACAGACCGTGTCCCCCAGGGCGTGTGCCCAGCACAGTCCCCTCGGCTTCATTCAGGGACAGAAGGCAGCTGGGGGGTCACTGTTCCCTCTGAACCCAGCTGGACACGCACAA